CAAAGGCGTTGCAAGTCCTGGGTTATTTTTATATACGTCCGTGGGTGACATGCGCTGGTGGGCACAGCCGAATAGCACTAACAGAGGGCGCAAGTTACGACCTGCCCGCAGCACAGACACACAAACGCATAGACCGCCAGATACTAGATCCTATTCAAAAGGTTTTTCGTGATCTGCGCGGCGCCCGACTAAAATCAAAACTACGGGCAGATTTACCCCTCGGTAAAGGGAATTTACATGTATACACACAGTTGAAGAATTCCAACCATGAAATTATATGAAGTCATTTTGGATTGCAAAAAAACCCTGTATTCACTTAATCTGGTCTATAGGGATTCAAAACAATGCAGGGGGAACGTTAATGATTTTGACTTGGATTGGACCTGGACGGTATTATCACACTTTGATCTATCAATAAGAACTCGAGAGTGGTGTAATTAGCGTTATGAAGTTGAGTGCGAAGCTCAATTGAATCAAGGTTCAATGGCTTTCTGTTGGTATTCAATTGGAAAGATATTGCCAAAAGAACAGCAAAGGTAAATTCGGATTTGCAGTCACGGTTTTGATGGTGTCCGACCGCAAAGTTACGGTGTTTAAAACTTCATTGTTAACGGTTGACAAGAGGTGGTCACTTTGAAACATGGCCAAGTCCATTGCCTCAAAGTTATTTTTCATTAATGTGTTCTTCATTGGCATTATCGGGTAAGTGTGTAAAAATATTTCTTGGCGCTTGCGTGATGTAACGCCCCGAAAGAACTGTATCCATGGTGGAATTTTTTTTATGAGGGGAACCTGTCGAAGTAATGGTTTTTGTTTGGTTCTCTCGGTTGGGAGTATCGGCTTTGATGTTGATCCCAACATCCCAGTTACCGTGAATGCAGCCAACTCTGAGAAACGTGTGTTTAGCGCTATAACACTTTCCAAACGCTTTCTCGCTGTCTAAGCCATCTAAGCACTTTCTTGTTATAAGTATTTAACATGTTCAGAGTACTGATGGATAGTATTTATACATTGACGTAAATCGCTAAACAAAGTTCTCCGAGTGCAATTGTCATTTCTATGACACTGCTTTCGAGAAAGGGCCAACACTGGAAATTGGATTTCCCAGGTGAAAACTTGTAATAATTTTGACCATATCAAGGAAACCAAGCCTCTTGTTACCCTACTTTCATCTCCTAAAGACTAGTTTGTCGAAGAAGTTGTGCACTTACCTTGGTATCAGTTATGTCCATGCTCTTTCGTCTTCAGAAACTACATCAGTAGTATTGGTTTGCCGTGGATTTAGTGGCGCACGTGTAGCGTGAGGTCAGGGCATTGCACCATGCATTACGATAATTAACCCCAGAACTTTTGGCACTTCCCCCACAAGTGAGACCTCAATCCCTTATGTGCATTGAGCTGAAGCACCCCTCCCCTCATTGGCTGGAAAGAGCCATCTTGATGTTGGTGGGAGTGTTTACTTTGTAGCGACGAAGCCGCAACGCCCAGTTCAAAAGCGTAAACCAGCAAAGTGCAAATCCCACCAAAGGAGCCGCCGTTGCCCGGAAAATCGTGCGCTCTTTTGCTTCCACTCGGGGCGGATAGACCAAGGCGTGTTTGGGCGACCCCTAACCAGAAACGTCAAAGCAATAACCAGGAACATGTTAAGGGTTAGCCCACAAAAACGAAGAACTGGAATAATTAGGTCATCTGAGAGAGGCAAACGCAAGGAAGCAGACGATCTGTTGATGAACAACATTATTTACTCAATATTCGGCATGTCTCTCACACTGGCTGCTCTCTCTTTTAGCGTGCGCACTAGAAGAAAGCATCTCATTGATTCTCTGTTTGTAACTACAAATTTTGAAATGTATAATTCACCCATTTGAAAGACGACAAAATCTTTTTATTTCCCGCCATTTTGAGCCGATGCTGAACCAATGGCAACCTTCAGTTCTCCGGCGCTCGGTCGGAACAGTGACGTCACAGTGGCGAAAAAGCTCAACCAATGACCCAAGCTGAAACAAACTCGTGGTTGGGGTCACCAAAAGACGCCCCTTTTCTTTTGTTAACAACCAGTGACCATCATTATGCACAAGGGGCAGCAGAAAGTTTGTCCTCAGCTGCAAGCAAAGTTTTCCTTAATGCACAATTTGCTTGATCACTGCTAAATTGGCCCGAGACCTTTAATTCGTTTTTCAGGAGTACTCATAATGTAGTGTTTTAATATTTCCCTGAATATATTATAAAAATCTGTGAATAACTCGTTTGCGACCACGGCCAGCAAATGTTTTTGCCGAAAAAAGATGGACTGTATTTTGCCCTCATGTGGTGAGAGAAATGGCTATGCCATGCCGCAGCTGCGTGGATGAAAGTCTTTGCCAAAAGGACATACCTCCAACAGCGAGGACGCCACACACAGTTTGCTTTTCACCAAGCTGCCGTGAATGGTTGAAATTTGTGGGATGGTTGGAAACAGCGAGGGGTGTCGCGACGCGCGTAAATTCTGGATTTGGTATGTAGTTGTGACCGATTACTACATCAGGTTGGGCCGACTGGAGATCTCACTCTGATCAGTTCACTTGAAAATTTTTATACAGCACTTTGGGAATAGCATGAGGGAAGGTGAGCAGGTTCAGCGACCTCGATTACTGCAAGGCTTCTATTCATTCGAGGTATATAGGGCACACAATTGCAGTGCCATTAAACTAATTTCCTGCCTTTGACTTGAATAACAGCGGTCAAAGTTCATGTTATCATTTCAAAATCGTGTACATAGGTGCCACTCATCTGGTAATTCCTCGCAGTCGATACTGGATGACATTCTGAAAAATTACGACCACCGCGTCAGGCCACTCAAAGATGGTATGTAAACTTTTAATTAATTGTGCATGTTCTATGATTTGGCGGTAATTGAAGTCATTCACCGGGCCTCCAAGATAAGGGGAGAAAAGTTGGGACCACTTGGATGAGATGCATGAGATAGTGCCATGTGCATAACGGTAGTCTTGGCTCCGAGACTTTCCTTTAAGTTTATTCAGCGATCCACACGCACGGACGTATAATAAAATCTGGACTCGTAATCCAGCATTCGTGATATGGACGTCGTTG